CTGCATCCAGATGTAATACTCTGATATCATGGTTTTCTACAGGGACAGCTGGCTGCCCCAGACCACCTGTGGAGACATTGGTCCTTTCCCAAGGACCTGAGGTCCATCGGTGCTGGAAATGTCATGTGGTTCTCTTCCTGGGCTCTTGGCCTGGTTCTGTAGATCTACCTTCCCCTTTGGAACATGGTGGCCCTGGGGTTGGAAAAATGATGGTGCCAGCCAGAAGGCTGACTTCCCATCTCCACACTGCTCTGGTTTCCCAAGGACATGCTACTCTTAAAGCTTGCTTCCCAGTAGGCAGGCAGCTTCTCGCTTCATCCTAGTGGGCCTATGAATGGGGCTCAGGAGGGAAATGTTCACAAATGGAGCAACCATTTCTCCTTTAAGTTGGGATGAGTGGAAAAGGAAGGCTTTGGGTTCTTCCAGAAGCTACAGTTCTTGTCCTAACCCCACTTGTTGCATGGTTCATGTCCCCCTGAACAGATGCTCTGAGGCAGGGCAGCCTTAGGGAACTGTGGAGCCACAGTTACTGGTCAGAGAGGGAGCCTGGGAGATGGCCTGCCTGGCAGGCTTGTGGTGTCAGCAAAAGCTCAGAGGCCCCGTGCTCTGTTTTGACCTTGATGCAACAATACCCAGTTTCTCTAGTAGCGTCCTCTGCAGAGATGGGCATGACCATATCCACCTTTCCAACACTGAAGTCAGCACTGGATTGCCAACACTTAGGAGCCATCATTTATTTATTCATTTATTCATTTCCCCCAATCATTCATTCATCCAGCAGCATTTTATTGTTCACTGCTGGAAATGGCACAGTGTGCCACAAAGGCTCAGAGGCCCTGCCCTCCAGGGCTCATATCCAGACATTGGCGCTGTCAACTCTGGTCCAACTGCTGCCTACTTGGCCAAGCACCTTCCCTCTAGGACTTCGGACCAGCTCCTGGGGACAGTCGGAAGCCAGACCTGGTTGGAAATTTCTGGCTAAACCCTCCTGCCCGCTGGCACCTCTCTCTGGGCTCCCCCGTGAGGTTAAGTCTGGAGTTCTGGAAAGGTTTCCTGGAATCCAGAGGTGCAAGGCGGGCTTGGGGAGAAGGGGCCCAAGGGGGGAGCAGGCCCCAGGGAGCTGTCCCCTCTTGCTTGGCCTCAGTAGGATCAGTGTCTCTCCCCGGGGCCAGCTCAAAGCAGGCGGCTCCCTGGCTGCCCTGGGGCTTGGCACCTCCTGGCTGCGGCTGATCCGCCCGCCCCCTCTGCCCACAACTCGGTCTTCTCCCGCTAGCACCTCTGCCTCTTACTCGAACCTGGAGTCTCAGAACTGCCACGGTTACTCATCCCGAGAGCTGGGACGCTTGGGATGAGGCTAAGTGAACCATTTTTCTCATAAGCCTCAAGGCCTTGCTGGTAAGTTGTCTGGGCAGCTGGTGCTGTGCAGATCTGTTGCCTGGGCTGGCTTCCGGAGCCTCTGGTTTGCAGGCAGCAGATGCTGCTGTGTGTATGGGCAGCCCAGGGCAGCGGGTGCACCGTGCAGGGGGTGGGAGGGGCCCTCTGGGCAGGATGTGAGAACGCATCTCCCCACAGTGCTGAAGATGCACAGGTAGCTTCCAGGGTGAATACCTTTGGGGGAGAAGACGGACTTGTGTACAATCAGTTTGTTGACCCAGGTGCCCACCCTGGGCAGAGACACTGATGGGCTGGGCTGCGCTACTGAGAATGGAGGCAGCTGTGAGCACTGTTTGCTTTTTTCTTTTAAGGTGCCAAGTACATTCATTCTCATCCTGCAGATGAGGGAAGCAACGCTTGAGGACTTAGATGGGCTCCCACCCCCTTGAGGGGTGTCATGCACAAGATACTGTGTCCCAGGCTGTGGGGACTTTTAGCTTTATTGACTCCCTTGAAAGCTTCGAAGTTAGACCTTCACCTGGTTTTCACAAAGCCACAGGGAAGTCCCGCAAAAGGACGTGGCAGAGCTGTCAGTTTCTCCTGTGATGCCAGCCCTAGTGTGTGAGCCCCTCACCTCTCTGCTTGGCACCAGGACTTGGTGTTTGGCAGCCCCAGCCCTTAGAGATGGCTGCCCCTCCCAGGGCCACAGGGGCTGCATTGTGGGTGGGGAGGCAGAGGAGCACGGAGGACGCTGTCAGGAGACATCCAGAGGTATATGAGGGTGGGCAGGGGCAAGAGAGGAGAGAAAGCTGGGCCTGAAGCCAGGCTGCAGAAAGGGAGGCAGTCCTGCCACGAACTGGCCAAGTCCCTCAGCCTTGACGTCACTGGCAAATACCTGCCGCGTGCGCATGGACTGGGATATTAGAACATTCGAGAATCTGGAAGGAGCAAGGGAGGCAGATGTGACTGAGTATTTTGTGGGAAATTCAGGACTTAAAAGTCCGAAAGGGGGTACTCTTTAGGGGCTGCGGGCTGACATCTGTTTGGGAGGTCTGTGCAGATGTGTGTGGGTGTCGGTCTAGAAGGTAATCCTGGGGAGAGGAGATGGAACTGAGAGAGTCAGTAACTGTCCAGGGAACTGGGGTGGGCCAGGCCAGGAGCTTTGGACTTCCTCCAGGTGAGGGTTAGGATGGGAGCCTTTCTTATCATTCCAGGCTGCCCCTGGAGGTCTGGCCTGCCCCGCCCCTGGCCTTAATTCCATCCTTCTCAGATAAACTTAAAAGTCTGAAGACAGATTTTGACTAAGTCCTCCAACCGCAAAGAGAAGAAAGGCTTCCCAATTAGGCCTTATTTCATCATCTCATTTGTGATTGCAGGCTTCTTCGTGGGTTTGCATTGCTAGGTCTTTCCTACATCTCAGCTCTATGTAACAAGTGCTTCGCTCTGGCTTTTGTTTCAAGGCAGCAGGTTGTTTTTCAGTGCTTGGTTTGTGGCCAGTGCTTCTTGCAGAGGTTTGGGGCCAGGCTGTGCCCAGTGGCAGGAGGAGGAGGAAGCAAGCAGGTTTGGTCTAGAGTGCTTTCCTGCCTGCGGTTGCTACATGAGCAGCCACGTGGAATGAGAAGAAATTCTGCTGAGCTGGAGAACAGAACTGGGTAACAGGGGCAGTCAGCTCAGGCCTGAGGACACAGTTGGTTAGGCCCTCTTGGGAGGATGCTCACAGGGTATTTCTTCCTCTGTTAAAGTGATGTGCTGTCACCAGGAAGTGGGGGATGGAGATGAAGGTAACAGAACAGGTACTCTGTGGTCAGGAGGGGCACGTGTGTCACTGCAGATCTGGTGGGCTGAATGTGCCACACACCCATCTCCCGCTCCCGTCGGCTCCACAACATGAATGTCCACAGGTCTTCCTGTCCTGGGCAGCCCCGTTCAGTGTGTGTGCCTGGAAAGTGAGCTAATGTGTCATGGCAAGTTCCCGAGTCTGCTGACCTCAGGTACTTGCACCATGTGCCAGTGTTCGTTAGGCAAATCAGTGACCCTCTTCCAGGCTGCATTCAAAACTATCAGCTAATTTACGCAGCTGGCGGGACAGCTCGTTGATACCGAGGGTGGCAGAAGTGCAGTGTCACTATAGGTTTCAAACTGTGGCATTGTAGAAGACCCCAGGTGTCCCTCTCTGTTTCTGGATGAGTAGACTGCACCTGAGGAGCTTATACCACCTCCATCACTGCATTTTCCCAGCAGCTGACCAGAATGCTGTGCTTAGCGGCTCTTACTCCCTGTGAACCGTGTAGGGGAGCGATTGTGCTCCTGGTTATGGGAGTGTCCTGCACGAAGTCGCTCTTAGTCTCTTCTTCTCTCCCATCTTTGTGAGGGGACCCAAAGGTAGGTTAACGAGCAGGTGCCAGTGAGCCCCCATGCATCCTGAGCAGCTTTCATATTTGGGAAATTCTGGCCCCTGCCACACCTCTGTCCACCTCTGAGGAGTGGACGCAGGGTGAAGCTCCCTGACCTGACGGGAAGCAGAGCCTCAGCTCACCGCACAAAGCCGCAAAAGCGCTTGGAGGTGGAGGTGGAGGTGGAGTTGGAGGCAGTGGCTCATCCTCTTGGCAGCCATGCCGGTTGGGGTTTAAAGGTGGAACCGTTGCTCTGGCCAGCTGGGGTCAAGGAGACGGTCCCTGGGCTTTTAACTGCTCCTCCCAGGGTGTGACCTGCATGCCATGTGATACCTGCTCCCAAGGGCCACTCAGGCACATGACTATGGATAAGGCGAAACCATCAGGCTATTGACGCACTTATGGGTGTGGTGTGTTCTAAGTTCCAGCAGGACCACCCTGCTTGGGCACAGACCGGGTATGGAGCCTGAGGCCAGGTAGGAGCAGCGGTCATTAGTCTGTGGGTGTTTGAGGGTGGGCGTGGAAGCGGTTTTGTAGTGGTGGGATGTAGACTGAACACAGAGTCACATATACCGAGGTTGGCCTGAGCCCCAGCAGGAAGGGAATGTGTGTTTCCTATCAGGGAGCCAGTGGGATAGACTTAATAGACTTATTGGAAGGGGGAGGGATGGTAATGAGGGTCCAGAGATTGGTTTGGGCCATGCTGAGTTTGAGATGCCCAGTGGGCACCCTGACTGCTACATCTGAAGTTTGAGGGTTCTGGTGTAGGCAGAAATATTAACACGGCTGCTGTCAGGATGGGAGTAGCATTTCAAGGGTACTCACATCCCCCCAGAAAGGCTGTTCTAATAATTCTCTATCACTCCTTGTAGGAGTGGACTCTGGCCTGCTGTGTAGCTGTCCCAAGTGGATGGGGAGATGAGTGCTTTTGAACATTGGAGCCCGATAGAGATACAGGGAGAGTTTTGCTGTCATTTAAAATGGGAGAGAAAATATGGAAGAAAGATAAAATCACGAGAATGAGCCCCTACTGCCTTGGCGGGGCAGAGGCTATAAAGAGTAACTTTTATTGTTGTTGTGGTCATCAATAAAACAGAAAGAAAATGTGCAGCCTCAAGCATTTACATGACCACAGAGGTGCTGTTAGCAGAAAGAGGAAACCAGAGCTAACACTGGTTTATGTATAGAAGCCTGAAAGAAATTCTCATTTGAGTAGGTCCCTGATGGACTTCTGATTTTCTTTCGATTCTAGCGGAAGCCAGTTTTTAAACTTTTCTCTTTTAATTGGCCATTGTTAGAGGCCTTTGGTCTGGAGACGTGCCCGAGGCACCCTGGTCTCGGCGATCCTCAGTTCTCTGGACAAGGTCCCCTATCTCAGTGACCACTACCCTGGCACAGATTTTAAGGTGATACTGAATTTGGGCTTAAACGACAGCCAAAGGGTTATGTTCTCTCCTGGGTTCCGAGGGGAAGAGCCCCATTGATTGGATGTTATTACTGAGTTGAGTTGGAAACATGATAGAGGATCAAAGGTGATTTTTTTTCTTCTTAAAAATGGTTTTGCAAATCTTTTTCAGAGCTGATAGACACACACCTTAGCTGGATACAAAACATATTATGAAACAGAAAGACTGTGATCTTTGATCCAAGAAATCAAAGTTAAAGGTAATTGATATCTTCTGCTTCTCCTTTTGTTTTCCAGCTGTGTGTTTCCTTGAGGGTTTGTTTTCAAGTTTTATAACCTACAGGCCTTCCCTCCTCCTCCAGCCATCCCCACAGACACCAATTCCTGCTCTCACTGCTGGTCCTTGCCAGGCCCAAGGTGCTGTCTGTGCAGCTGGGGTAGGATCTGCATGCTCTCCCAGGGACCCCTTTCAGGACTGGCCTGCAGGACCCATGCCATAGTGTCCCCCTCCATCCTACTCCATAAGGCCGTCCACAGGGTGGGGGGTCTGCATGGGGGACAGGGGAGCAGAATGGTGGGAGCCCTAGGAGCTCTGCAGGAAGTGCCTGTGCTCAGGGACTTCCCACTGTTCATTTCTTCTGCTCAGTTTCAACTTCTCCCTAGGGGCTTTCTTGTCATGGGCATTTGACAGCATTAATATGCTACTTGGCTTCTGGATTTGAAATCTGAAAACCAGAGCCATGGTTTTCCCAGGTGCCCAGCAGGGCCTCACCTGGCCTCCACCAGTTAGACCCTGGTGGATGGGCTTTGGCCACTGGGCCTGCGTAGAAGAGTCAGGTCACTGTGTGGCTCAGGCTTTGGGGACAAGGTCCAGGTGGGAACCGAGGGAGTTACCTTTCTGTGCCTCAGCTGCGTAGATGTCAGTGCTGTTAATTAGTCCTCTCAACCTTCTAAGTAGAACCACTCAGTCTTGCAGTGCCGCAGACACCGGGGTGGGGGGGTGTCCACTTGGTCAGCCAGGGTCACTAATGTTGGACTATGTTCGCCGTGGCTTCTTTACCTAAGTGGCCAGGTCTGGAAATCCTTGGGGGAATCACATGGATGGCCCCATTGTATACAGAGAAGCTGACCACTGAGAGACATGTCTCCCAGGCACCAGGGCCTGTGGAGGTGTCCCAAAATGCCCCATACCAGCACCACCCCTTAGTGGGGAGGGCGCTGGCTCTGCACTCTCCAGCAGGGACTGTCGGAAGGCAGGAACCACCTGAGTGAGCACGTGCCAGACACCCAGTTTGGGCCGTGATGGCCTGGAAATCGGGATGGAAAGAATGCAAGCAGGATATCAGTGCTGACAGCAGGCAGGCCTCCATCGCCAGTGCCGTCCTGGCCCTCGCCTCTGGGTCCCAAGCCTTTGGGTTGCAGGCCTATCCGGGGGCTTCTGTTCTTTTCATTGAGCCTATATAGTCAGGCCTGGCTGGGCTCTTCTGGAAAGTTCTTCAGCGTTCCCCAAGGCCCACAGCAAGGGCTGAGACATGACCAAAGGCCGGGACGTTTTATAGCAACCAAAAGCAGAACGCAGGAGAGCTGTCCTTGATATCACTTATGAGCAGGAGTCACAAGGCCCAAGGCCAGCCTTCCTCATGGGGTAGCCGGGGTTCACTCTTGGCCTTCAGAGTAGATCCCCCCCTACTGCCCACCCCCAGAAGAATTGGGACAAAAGGCAGGTGCTAGAGGCCATCTTCTGTGCTTTCGTGTAATCCTCTCATTCCGACTCAGGCAGGGTAGTTGTAGGGGTGAATTCAGCAAGGGGCTTCAGGCAGAGGTGGGTGGTAGGTAGGGGCCTGAGCCCCTCCTGGCTCTCAGATTCCCATGCCTTTTCCCATCACAGCTGGAGGAGCATTTTCTGCTCCTGCTGTGGCCTTTGGTCTGGCCGCCTGAAGCCTGGGGAAGAACCGTGCAGAGCCCTCTACTCCTTCCTGGTGCTGCTTTTGCAGGGGACAACGCTGCAGAGTCAGCAGTTGAGGGCAGAGGGCCTTGCCTTTTGCCTGAAGTAGATTGGTGTGGTTTTCCAGTTGCAGGCCAGTGCAGCTGTGCTATGCAAGCCAGAGCTTGAGGGACTGTGCTGATAAGGGAGAAGAAAGTCATCTGGGCCCTTGAGCCAATCTGAAAATTCCCCAGACTTCTAGTTTTTAGGAATCTACTTCTAAGTCAACCCAGAATCATCTGACTGACAGTAGTCATTGAGGCTGTGGCTCCCTAGATTGCTACCTTCTAAAAGTAGACAAAGAGAATTCCATACTTTTGTTTTGCCCTTGGTACTTGGTAATCTTGGGCCAAATCTGGCCCTCAGCCTCCTTCGGTAAAGTTTTATTGGAACATATTTGTGCTGCTTTGCCTAGCTGGTTTTCTGCTAAGTGGCACAGTTGAATAGTTAAGAGGCCACAGTGCCCATAGAGCAAGAAGATGCAGTGTTAGGACCAGGGGAGGAAGGGAAGTTGGATTTGGACAAGGCTGGGGCAGGGCTGGGTGGAAGCGTGTGTGGCCAGCGTTGAGAGGAGGTGGGAGAAAAGGTACAGGAGCTGGTACCAGACAGTGAATCAAATGCTGAGAGGCAAGTGAGTCAAAATGCTTAGTTCCAACAGTAGGCCCTGAGGTGTCTTCAGCCCTAAGTTCTGTGTCCTCAGGCACAGGATACGGCAGGGCATGCCAGCCCACACAGCACAGAAACCGAGTATAGGGGACAAGGGGAGCTGGGACATGTGGGCTTTCAGGAGCCTGTGTCTGAGCCCTGATGGACAGGTGCAGGGAGAAGCATTAGAGAGGGTGGAAAGCACCATCCTGTCCAGGGGACCAGCTCAGGGTGGCATGAGGCAGAAGGGATACCCAAGCAGGTGGAGGGTGGCAGGACATTGTGGCCACAGAGGGGACAGAGACAGATTCCAGGGTCCTAAGAGGGACTGGGGGGCAAAAGCACATAGAGCGACAGTGAGTGAAGAGACAGAAGACACAGAGAGGAGGAGAAGCCTGAGTTGGGGGGACTGTCCTTCTCCTAAGGGGGAGATGTCATGGTGGACACCGGCATTGATTTGAAGGGCCCGGAGCCATCCCCTCCACCCCAGCCCCCTGCAGGGGACCTCCTCTAGGCAGGAGGTCAAGGCTGGATGAAGTGGTTGAGTTGAGGGGCCAGGTTTTCAGCCCAACTCAGTTCCCCATGGCCACCACCCCAGCTGGCATTTCGGTTCTAGAACTTTCCCTTCTCCAGCCAGGGAAGGTTCCTACCCAGAGAGGTTTTGGTGGAGTCTGAAGCTCAGAACCACTGTCCCCTACCCAACAGCATTAAGGTCTAAATGCAGAGCATTTGATTTTCTGGATGAGACAGCTCACATCTACCTGAAGGTAGCTTTCAGCCGGCTGTGGGTCTCATCCAAAGGGTGGGGAAAAGTGCCCTGTTGCCCAGCCCTGAGAAGGGAGACGACCCCATTTCGAGGGCCATGATGCCTGCAGCTCTGCCTCCCAGCTATTTTTAGAAAGCCTGAGGCTGTGGAAAGTTTCCATTAGGGATTGACTCCTCTGGTTTCCGAGGTTGAGAAAACAGGAAGGCCTTCAGAATCCGGGCTTTGAAAACTGTGTGAAGCTGCCCGGCCCTCCCCTGGCGTCAGGCTTTCACTGCCTCTGCAGGGGTCAGCAGCTTATGGGCAGGTCACAGGCAGGCCCGGCCCTCTTCAGTCACCTTCTTGGTTAGGGCCCCTGGCTGTCACCAGGACTGGGTGCACCAAACAAGGCCAGGAAGTGCTGGTGGCCGGGCCTGTGGACTCAGCTGGAGTCCTGTCAGTGGCTCCATTTCCTCACCTGGGAAGCGCTGGCCCTTCTAAAAATGCTTATGGTCCCATCCACAAGCATACAGGTGCCACACTCTCACACACAGGTTTTAGCCTACAAAGCCACACCTGCTCCTCTCTGGGCCTCATGATCATTTCTTTCCTTGCATCAACTCTCCAAGCTCAACAGCTCTACGAGCCAGCTCATATTTTCAAACACAGTTTCCAGGTGGGAAAACTGAGGCACAAAACAGATCTATCACTAAGGCAGGGTTCACAAGCAAGAGCAGGCCAGGGTGGGATTCTGACCCTGGGCATCTGAACAAGAACCTGAGCTTGGGGTGCTTGCTTCGGCGGCACATATACTAAAAAAGAACCTGAGCTCTTGCCCTTAGCCTGGACCCGAGGGACAGGGACTCACACAGATCTTCCGGCATGAAACAGTCTTTGGGTGCAGAGGACCCAGTTCGCCTTGGGACGTCACCATTGACAGCGCTGAATACCTGGCACGTGGCTGGGCACTGCGGTGTCCTTTCTTGCTTGGCATCCTCACAACAGCCCTAGAAGGAACACACTGTTCCGATTCCTACTTCCCAGGTGGAAAAACTGAGGCATAGAGAGGTAAAGTCACACAGCCACTTAGGGCGAGCTGAGAGTCAAACTGGCTTATCTGGCTCTTTAAAGGTGGGTGCCTTCCCCGCCCTTTTATCACTGGGGGACACAGACCCTTGGCCTCAGTTTCCCATCCCTCTAAATAAGGGAAATGCTCAGGTGAGGCCACTTGATTCCCAAGGAGGCTGCACTCTGCCAGGACTTCAGAGAAGGGAGCCAGCATTGCACCTGTGATTCCCATTAAAGACCCATCTACTTACTGGCTGGACATGACCCTGCATCCCCCAAAGGTCACCTTCTGAAGACTCACAGCAGGACTCTCCACCAGCTGGGGAAATTTCCTGCTTGTGCTGCAAGAAAGAATAATGACGCTTAAATTGATGGCGAGCTTTGACTGGAGGTCTCACCTGTTGCTTTTTAAGGGTCCCTGTATTTTCATTAGATACGATCATGTAACAGGTGTTTTCCAGACATGGTCACCATGGAGGCAGTCGGGTAGACGATAGAGGGTCTAAGTGTGTTAACAAACGCAGCAGGGGAGAGAGTTACTCAAAACGTGCCCACACCACTTGAGCAATTTCCACTAACAGATCTGTGGTTCAGACCAAAAAAAATAATAAAAACCCATAACCTAGGAATCCATGTATGTTAAAAATTGCCAAATGTATAATCACAAGGAAGGGTCTGGTTGAGGTTAGAAAGCTAATCTGATACATGTTTTGGGTACCTTCTCAAACCTCTTTTTTTCTCTCTCTCCTCTTCTAGTTAATGAAATTATCCGGAAGGAATTTTCAGGACCTCCTGCCAGAAATCAGACGTAGAGGCCACCATTGTATCAGACACCCGTCTCGGCCCCTCAGAGCCTCTGCCCTCCACCTTCTGACTCCTCGTATTCATCTCCCTGCCGGTGACCACGCGCAACAATGTCCGGGCACAGAGCCACCTCTCTGTAAACACCAGTGCACTCCTTCCTGTTGAACGTTAAGCCCCAGAGAGCATCCTGGTTGGTCATAAGGGTGACTCACCCAAAAGCAAGTGCCTGCTGACCAACGTCACACTTCGTGTGATGGGCGCTGGGACTTGCCTGACACCTGAGTGACCGAGGCTCGGGACAGAGCGGAGGGCACTGCGATTGAACCCACTGTCTGCGTCCATTTCTCCAGTCCCAGAAATGGCTCCTGCTCCTTTGTAAAGAGAGGTTCTCTCAGCAATCAAAGAATGAGGCCCAAGAGCTCAGCTTACTGCCCAAAGAACCCCGAAGCCCTCGTGCTAGGGCCAGGAATGGACCAACGTTCTTAGAGATCACCTTGTCCAGGCCATGGCTGGGCTACAGGAAAAGCTTTATTTTGGAATTTTCTCCTAACAAAACAAAACTGCCTTTGCAGACAAGATCATCTGTTAAAATGTCCCAGCGTTAACTTACGACATGTGTACATGATAGTTTTCTTTTTATTTTTTTTTTCTCTGCTTCAAATTGCGGGCCAAGGAGGCTGAGGGTGGAGCCCTCGTGGCTGGCTGCTCTGACCCTTGCAGCTGCGCTAACGAGTGTCCAGGACTGAGCTGACCCAGCTGCAGAGTGTGGCCCCCTGCCGTGGCCGTCTGTGCACGGCTCCTCCTTTGTCTTCCTTGCGGCCAGAGCGCTTTTAACGTGAAAGGGGTAAGAAGATTCTTAGGCCTGTGCATTGAGTGTTGAGGGGCAGCAGCCAGAAGGCTAATGGAAAAACAAAACAAAACAAAAGTGCAGGGATTTTTCTTAAAATCCAAGTGCTTCTGTAAGTGTTCCCACCAAGACAGAGGAAAAGGGCTGAATTTCCTCTCACATGTAAACTCAGAGTGAAACAGGGAAGCACGGGCCCTGGGCCCAAAGGTCCTTAGTTTTACTTGAACCCTTTAAAGCACCGCTAGGCCTCAGCATGCTGGCTCTAACGCTGGGTCTGTATCAATGGCTGTGTCCAACTGCAAGCAGCTCTGCTCAGACCAGCTGTCTGTGTGAGTTTCCCCCAGGCACGCCCAGAATCCCCTGGTTCCCCCGACTGGTGCAGCTTTTGCAAACAAAATCTTCCACGTTTGTGGTAGTTTTCTTCTCACAGTGCTGGGTCTGCTGCACTTAGTGCACCCGCCAGGACAAGCTGGCATTCGTGTTCAGCTATTCATCTCCCCAGCAGTCAACAAGGTGCAAATCGCCTCTGTATTTTGCGAAAGAATGTACTTTGAGCAATTTCTCCGTGCAGTCTGGCAGGCCCAAAGCCTAATAAGAGAGTCATCCCCACAGCAGCTTTTCATAGTCCTGACTGGTCATGGTCACTCCGAGGTAGCCCTTGCCGAGAGAGCTGGGCCGGGTGTGCCGGGTGCCCAGTGGTGTATTATCTTTTGGTCAGTCCCCGGCAGTTATTTCCTCTAAGGGCAGGGGTCTTTTCCTGTCCCACCCCTGCAGAGCTGAGCAAAGTTCTCTCTCAAACACACAGAATGCCAGTAAGACGTCGAATGCTACCGCAGAGCATCTACGATGCTAAACACTTCCTCAGCAAAAAAAAAAAAAAATTCCTTCTACCAGCAGCTTTACCTCCTCAGGACCTCTCTCTCCAGCAGTACTGGACTTCACAAGGAAGAGACGAGGGCTTGGTGAGCGATTTGTCTCACTTGACCTGGCTAGGAGCCATTTTTGCACATGAGGGAATCAGGACTTTCCTCAGTTACCTGAATGTTTTACCCAAGTGCCTTCCTGTATTGTAGCAAAGTCGCTCAGCATTCTTGCCCCTGGGGTAAAAAGTGACTAATGCTTTTTTCCATCAGTCCTCTAACCATGTTAGCAAAAAAGGGCTTTCTCCTCGCAGCTCTAGCTCCTATCCATATATATGTGTGTGTGATACACACATAAACCCCTTTCTTTTTCTAAGACATCTTAGCTAGATAGTATAGGAAGCACTTGCATGAAACTATACCAAACAGCAAAGGAAAGAAAAAGCACTAGTTTTGAGACATAAACAGGCAAGAGAATGTATTGGGAGTGGACAGCTGTCAAGAAAGTTGCGTCAGCTACAAAGGCTGGGAGGAAAGTTGGCCAAGTCATTGATTATGAAATATTTTCAGTATGGGAAGAGGCAGTCAAATCCTCAAAAGCAGAAAGGAAAGGTGTCTAAATGGGCAAGATGGGTGTGTTGCATGTGTGATAAAGGAGGCTCAGTTAAGTCAAGGTTAGTACTTGCTACATCCACAGGAATATAAACATGTAGCACTCTGACAGGTCTGCCGTGTTGCTGAATGTAATGTACTTCCAAAGTTTGCAAGTCTTCCTATATTGTATAAAAGTACTGCTGCTTTGATAATATATATGCAACCCAGATTAATTAGTATATAATTAAATTTTATTTTCTTACCTGTATTTTTATGCTTTTTATCTGCCCTCAAAATATTGTACCTCTATTGGAGTTAGAAAATATTTATAAATGGTCAGAAATCTTTTTAAGTGTCTCTTTTTACATATATGTTGATTTCTTTTCCCTTAAGAGAAATGGTGTATTGTTGAAAAATTGTATTAATCATTCCAGGAAACAAACCAAAAAAACACCCCCTCTGAGCCTGGCAGGCACCTATCTAGTGGGAGAAAGCATCTCGGGGCAAAGAAAGAGGATGGCTTTGTGGAAGAAGAATATTTTTTTTCTTGCTGGACAATAATGCTTACTTTCTTCAGCCCTGAGTCTGGGTTTTGTCACTGAGGAGAACTGTATTGTAAATAAATGAGCTCTTAGGTGATTTTGACTTGAAACAATAGAACCCGCCTGCACTGTGATGGCTAGAATTCAGAGTTCCTACTCACAGGACCCTAAATGCAGGCTGGTGTCTCAGAGCTGCCAAGTCCTGGTAGATGACCTCCATACACATTAACCAAAGGACAGCCATGGCTTTCCAGCACCGATGTAGCCAAGATGAAAGAAGTTGATTTCTTCCAAGAACTGGGACTCACTGTTCTTCTATTTTTGGTTTACATTCAGTAGCCAAGACATCTGTCTGAACAAGCCAGCCTTGGCTAGGGCGGGACTGTCACACTTGGGCAGGTCAGAAGCTGATGTGTTGTGATTGTCACTGTGGACTGAAGGGAGGTTGAACTTGTTTATTTTCATGTCACAACACTCCACCTGCTCTCTGTTGTTCAGAACTGAAAGAATGTCAATGGTCCCCTTAACAGCCCTGTTCATTTCACATTTACAAGAGGCACAGGGGTAGTGGTGTTCCTGACAAGCTGGGGTGACCACTCTCAAACTCATGTTTTGGAGGGACAGCCCACTGGGGACCCGATACATCTTAACCCTGGGCCCCCCAAGCTTAGGGCTTGGGCATTAAGTCTCATGGAATCAAGTAGGCCAGTTGCAAATACAGTGTTTTTCTACCTTCCAACAAAGCCCTTCACAGCTGCATCACATAAAACCAGGATCACAAACACCTTCCCTTCACATTCCTAATGTCACCATCTTAATTTGGTTTGTTTAAAAACAAATTGGTGATTGGTGAGAAAGGTACTTCCTGAGCAACTCTCTGGAAATGTGATGGGGTCCTGGGAGCTGGAAAGGAGGGTTAGCACTGTCCACACAACTGTGGGCAGACACACTCCCCTGCCAGTTCGAGGTTTGGATGCCATGGGTACCCATGATGCTGTTTCCATGACAGTGGGTGCTCCCAGCATTCTGATTGGCCTGTTTGGATGTGGCTGTGGGACCACAGGGCCAGCATCCTGACATCTTGTCAGAGAAGCCCACTCACACCTGTTGCCTCCATGGCCTTTGGAGGGGAGGAAATATTGGATCCTAAACAGTTCTCCAAGAGATACAAGCCACTCCAGCTGGGTGGTGCTGCAAGGCTTAGGTTTGCAAAATCCTGACTGTTAAAGGAGTTTGAATACATCACATTCCTATGCAAAATGTTTTTATCTCCAGTTTAATGTAGTTTATTTTTGCTATATGTAAAGTATTTTTATACGGCTTGTACTATGATAGTTTAGCAATAAAACAGTTGAAAGCTGCAGCTACTTGGGTGTGTCTTTGCTTCTGTAGAGGGGTATTGAGCAGCCTGTTTATATTTGAGGTTCATACAGTAAGGATGTGTGGCGTGTCCATAGACTATGTGTTTCCCTATGTCTCGTCTCAGCCCGAGAGGAAGCACCGTCCCATTTTACATATGATACAGAAGCCATTTGACCAGGGAGACAGGGCCATAAGAGGAAGCTGAATTTGCCTGCCTCCATCATAGCTCTCCTGTGAGCCATCTCTGGACTGCTTTTGAGGCACCATCTAGAAAAGCTAGATTTTTTTGAGGGGGGGGAGTACCAGGGATCGAACTCAGGTCCTTGCGCTTGTGCAGCAGGCGGCGAAACCACTGAGCTAAATCCCAAGCCCAAGAAAAGCTAGATTTATAATGCCTACCTTAGAGCCACTGCCACAGGGTCCCAGAGCATTTGCAGACCACGGAGCTAAGGCAGTCACCTGGAAGGCAGAAGCAGCCCTTTGTGCCTGAGCACCTTGCAGAACTCCCGGGTTATGGGGAGGGGGACGGACACCTCTTACCATCAAACCTGCACACAAATATTCCAAGTACTAAAACTCGCTGCTGGCTCCCTCCTCAAAACAGTTTTGTTTTCCCCTCCCTTAGCTAAAGCACCTAAGTGGTGTAGAACAAATTTATTTTTTAAGTTTATGCTAACTTCTTCACATCCTTCAGACCTGCTCTTAAACCTCAGGAGAGTGGAGTCCCGGCCCCAGGCCCTGGGCTTCGGGACCTACTCCACCTCACACAGCGCTGTGTTAGGAGAGCCTCCCTGGGAATTTCCCAGGTCTCCTTCCAGGTACCCTGCCTGGAACCAACAGGACCCTATGGGCAGCTCCCAAGCTGGAAACGTCTGCCTTGAAATGGCCTTGGTCCCCCTGGCCACTGGGATGAGCAGCTCCCCATTCCTCCTCCATGCCTCTCCAGAGACCAGGCCAGTACTTCCTGGTAAGCAGGTTGCTCTGATGGCTGGTCCAGGAGCAGGTGAGATGGGGCCACCAGAATGGTCCCAACACACCCAAGCAAAAGTACCTGCACAGGTCCACACCCTCTGCAGGGGCTCTGTTCCCGCAGGGTGTTTGCTGCAGCTGTGGGCAACTGTTCTTCCTTAAATTAACTCACTTCTGAACCTGATGAACAGAAACCAAAATCATCTTCAGCAGGAGAAACTGTACAGTCAGTGAACGCACCTGTTCTACATTCCTTTCTAAGCCTCACTTGGGGAACATGAACTTGGCCCAGGGCTCGGTTTCCCCAGGTAGAAAATGAGGGCAACCCACAGGCACTGAGTGCTTATGTGAGCATTAGCTATTGATTACACGTTGATCTGAAATATACTGGGTACTTACCCAAGGCTCAGCTTACAGCGTGGGCCCCTAGTGGGACCTCATGCTCCCAACACGTGGAAGAAATGGTCAGAGCTCAGGGGGATTGGCTTTATCTAACTACATCATTAAAGGCCAAAACTTGCATTTATCCCATTTTCAAATCCTGAAATGAAAAGGAGATACAGTGGAGCCTTGACTTACAAACTCAATTTGTTCCTGAGGGCTGGTTGTAACTCAGGTTGGTCAGTGAAGGCTCAGGCTCCTCTCCACAGCCTTCAAAGCCTCTGTCCTGAACGAAGGGAGATCCCAGTGTCCTCAGAAAGACATCAACCCGGGATTTGTCAATTAACCCCACACAAGAAAGGATGTCATGTTCCTTTCAGAACTCTCATTTTTTTTTTTTCCTTTCAGAACTCTTTAAGGGTTAAATCTGTATCTGAGACCATCTGGAACCACAAGTGGCAGGCATTGGAGTCATAACTTAAGACTTTGTTCGTAAGTTAAAACTAAAATTCTGGTCAAAAACCAAGTTGTTTATGTGTTAGACTGGTTGTAGAGGCAGGTCTGTGCATGCCCTACCGAGGTCCTGAGTTGTGCAGAAGATGCTGAATCACCCCGCTGCAGACAGGCAGGTCTGCCCACACCCTACCGAGGTCCCCAGCCCCACGGAATATGCCAAATCAGCCCGCTGTGCACAGGAAGGTCTGTGCACTCCCTACCAAGGTCCTGAGTCACGCGGAAGACACTGAATCGCCCCGCTGCAGACAGGCAGCCACCTGGTTCCACACTACAAAGACACAGAGGACACCAGACCACCAGACCAAGGTACTGAGTCCCACTGTTCCCGGCTCAGAGGTAGGGGCTTCTGAGCCAGCGTCCCATGGCTCCTGGTCCAGAGGAAGGGGCTTCCTGGCCACCATCCCTCCCGCTGCTCCCAGCCCACAGGAAAGGGCTTTTGGGTCACCATCCCTACCACTGCTCCTGGCCCCTGTCCCACCTCATCCAGCTCAGAGGAGGTAATCTGTGCAGGCACTAACAGCCCCCCGCTCCAGTCAAAATGAGAAAACACGTAAATAAGTCTCAAAACCAGACTTCCAGATCACCTACAGCAACCCCAAAGGGAAATGAGATGGAAC